TACCAAACAACATGAATCAAACATGCACTTTATTTATTTCCACTAAATAACAAAAGTACATCAAATCAAGTTGAAGCTAAGGGCATACAAAACTGTCTAACAGTCTTGGGCAGGGAGACCCTCTATCTCTTCTCCTATTTATATGTGTTGTGGAGATCCTCACTCTTTTCTCTAAGAAGGCTGCTGTGTTAGGGGAATGGGAAGGTTTTGCAATGGTGCCGGGGGGAGAGAAAGTGAATATTCTTCAATTTGCAGATGATACATTATGTTTTGTGGAGGCGTCCCCCTCTTAGGTGGAGTTAATCCTTGGGATTCTCTCTTGGTTTGAAGTGATTACAGGTTTGAAAGTTTATTGAAATAAGAGCCAAATTATCCCAGTTGGACAGGTTTCCAATTTAGCTGAGTGTGCTGCTATTCTGGCTTGCCAGATTGCATCCCTTCCAGTCAAATATTTGGGTCTCCCGCTTGGGGTGAGTGGTGGTTCCTCTGCTATCTGGGACCCAGTTATTGAGAGATTGGAAAGGAAGCTGACTTCTTGGAAGGCTAAATACCTATCTTTTGGGGGGAGGGTGACTCTGATTAAGAGTACCCTCTCCAATCTGCCTACCTACTTTCTATCTCTGTTTTCCATTCCTAGGAAGGTTGCAAATCAGATTGAAAAGCTTCAAAGGAATTTTCTTTGGATAGGCTGGGAGGAGGAGAAAAAAGTGCACTTGGTAAGTTGGGAACAAGTCTGTCTCCCCAAATCTGAAGGGGGGTTAGGTATAAGGAAGCTGAAACAATTTAACTCTGCCCTCCTATGTAAATGGATTTGGAGATTTGCTGTAGAATTTAATGCTTGGTGGAGGTCTCTTATTGCCAGAAAATATGGTGCGAGCTGGGGCAATTGGAGAACTAGGGATCCCCCTCCTAACTGGGGTATCTCTTTGTGGAAAGGGATAATGAAGCATTTTCCAGATCTGGGCAGGGGGATCTCAATCAGGGCTGGTAATGGTAATAGGACCAAATTCTGGAAGGACTCTTGGTGCACAGATGCTCCTCTTGCTGAGTCCTTTCCACTCCTCTTCCAGTGTGCTTCAGATCAAGAGGCCTCAGTTGCTGAGTGCTATAGTACTTCTGGTGGTTCAGTTCTTTGGACTCCTTTCCGAAGAAATCTCTGACTGGGAGGTGTATGAGGCAGTGAATCTCCTGACCTGTCTCCAGTTTCAAGAGTTGGATTATAGCTCGGAGGACAAGTGGCTTTGGAAGTGGAATTCTGATAGGATGTTTTCAGTTAAATCGTTGGCTGCTATGCTTGGTAGGAAGGGTGTTCCTGATTTCCCAGTTCAGCAAGTGTGGAATCCCATTAGTCCGACTAAAGCCAGTTTCTTGGTTTGGACTATGGCTCTTAATCATTGGCTACCTTTCCAAGGAGAACCTTGTGAGCAGGGGATTTCAGATTTCGGACCTATCTTGCAGCTTATGTGGGTGCAGTGCTGAATCTACTGATCATTTATGTATTCACTGCCTGTTCTCTGCGCAGCTGTGGAACCACTTCCTCAGCTCCTTGAAAGTTTGTTGGGTGATGCCGAGGTCGGTAAAAGAGCTGTTATGCAGCTGGCATATCATGGGATTGAGCAAGAAAAAGAAGACTTTATGGAAGTTGATTCCAAGTGCTGTAATTTGGTGTATCTAGACCGAGAGGAATAGAAGGGTGTTCTGTGTTCAGTAATAAGTTTCTAAGTCTGGAGGATTTAACTCAGAAGTTAGTGTGCAAGCTGATTTCTTGGTTGTCTGTGGTGGCAGATTTTAGAAACTGTAATGTGTCAGATGTACTTTTTTCTTTGTCTTGATGGCTTATATAATTGCTGAATAGATCGGTCAGCCTGTTCAGGGACTGATCTCAGCCTCTTGTGTGTATTTCTTTTTCAATAAATATTACTTTACCTTTTCCAAAAAAAAAAAAATCTTCATGTTAGCAATTACTATTGAAATCCAATTTTTAGTTATAAGACAGCAGCTAGATCATGCCCTCAGATTAGCTGTGGCTATCTGATGACTAGGAATTACTACTAACATTCTGGACTGCGAAATCTCTATTTAAATGTAAAAGCAATGTTGTCCTTATGTGGTATATTCCAATACAGCCATTTCTCGTGTATTATCCTTGATGCTATTGAGTTCATATATTGACTTGAACCTTTAAATGTAAAAATAACGTTTTCTTTATATTACAAAACTGTGAAAATTGTTTTTTATGGTTAAAACGCTGTTTCCTGAGTTTTCATCTCATAAAGTGTGTGATGTTTAAGGTTCTTTGAGCAATATTTTCCTGAGATAAGGCCTTGTGAACTTGTAAATTATGATTTCATTACAATGAATGTTGTTTACAATCTCACAGATGATGGTCAAGACATAGATGGCCTACCAAGTGAAGGCATAGAAATTACTTGCTTCCATCAGGTATGATTGCAGTTCATTTAACTTGTTCTATTTACCAGAAGGGGCTCAGATTCTTGTTAATCTCAATTTCAATATCTTTTGTTGTATAAGATAATATCTTCAGTGGTGTTTATGATGCATGTTATCATGGTCTTCTTTTTCAATTGGGTAGTAGGAACTAGAGGGTGCTATGTTTTGGTCCATGTTTTCTTTTTTCAATCTGTTGATTTCTTGGTGGGAATGCAACTGAGATTCTTTTGATAGCTTGAAAGAGCTTTTGGTGTCTCTTTGTGTGGATGTCAGTCATGGATTGGGCTATTGTCCTCAATGAATTCAATTTTGTTTGTAATTGGTCAAATGTGTTTGGTTCAAAGAAAGTAATAATAAATCTTTTTCTAGTTACAGGCCTTTTTTCTTCTTCTTCTTCTTCTTCTTCTTCTTTTTTTTGCAAACTTTCATTTACAAGTTTATACAGTAACAAAATTTCTGATTTAAAGAAGTTAAAAAGAGTTGAGACGAGGATAAGATTATAAACATTTTATTTAGTATTGTAAAAGATTATATTCTGCATTTAAAGTTGTTCATTTTTCTTCCTGTTCCCTCTCCATGTGTCATTTTGCTTAAAAACACTATTATATTACTCCAAGACCAGAATTTATTTCTAATCTCTCTCACTCTTGACATTTATTTTTCAGGATGGTACACATTATATGATTTATACACCATCTGACCCACTTCTATTTGTTGCTGTAAAGGTAACTTGCCAGCTTTTAATGTCTGCTTATTCTAGTGATGATACTCTTGAATAAATACAGCATTTTCCTTTTTTATATTGTTAATATATGGAACTTCTACAGTCCAGGTGCCTTCAACAAAACTCTGTTGTTTTGTTTGTTCGGTTTATGTAACTTCTTTATTGGCCAATAACTTATTGGAAAAGGATAACAGATCTTAGATTGGAGAGTGGGGATTTGGGAGAACATAAGCTGAAAACCCTTTTTTTTTGTTCATGCAGGATCAAAATGGTCTATTGCAAATTGCTGACGATGTAAGCAATCTCATTTAATTTTACATGTTCTTGAGTTGTAGAACATTATCTGATTTTTTATAACTTATTTTTAGAATCTGGTAAAGCACTGAGGTGGCGTTTGGAAACCTGTAGTGTGATACCTCTTAAATCTAATTAAATCTTACTGCAATAAGATATTATTTTTTATGTCTGAAATCTGATTAAATTGTCATATTTGCCACATCAAAGATCCCCCAAAATCATACCCTCTTTGAACGTTGAACATTATTGATCATCATCATAGTTGTCAAGGCGACCTTTGAGGCTCGCCTCGCCTCACCTAATCGCCTAACAGTTTTCTACTTCCTACTATAAAAAACTTTTTTATTCATTTTTTTTTGATATTATAATTATAAAATAGACATTATTAAACTAGAATGATCATTTTGTGTGTTTATAGACTAATTTCTTTTTATTATTTTCTTATTTATTAGGGTTTAATCAACACAAACATTGCTAAATGCTGTATTGAACCCTCAAAGACTTGTTAAAAACCTGAACCAATAAGCAAGGAAGAACTAAAAATTTTATCTAATCAGCACATTTTCCCCTTCCATATATTCTTCTTCTACTACTACTACTACTACTACCAATACTTTTTATTTTCTTCTTTTCCTATAACAAAAATAAGGGTTCAGCCTCTATATTTTTTGAATTTTATTTTCCTTATTCCTTTTCTTCTCATGAATATGTTAACTTTCTATACTTTAATATGAAATTTATACCCTAGGATCTATGTTTTTAACATAAAAGTTCCATCACCTAGGCGATGCCTAGGCGCCCACCTAGGCGACTAGTCGCCCCCCAGTCACCTAGCCTTGCCTCCTTGAAAACTATGATCATCATGAATAAATGAATGAGCAACCATATTAGTTGTGATGATGTGGAGTTGCAGATGGGTCAAAGGATCCATATATGACCATATCTGATGATGACAGATTTTTTTTACAAGCTAGAAGCAACAAGAAGATGACTTGAGATAGGCAATCATAGTGGATTTGTGAAACATTGAAGCCAAAAAGAAAAAGGAAACTAAAAGGAAGAAGGTGAAGAAGCCAAAGTTTTTTTTTTAATAGGAAATGGTAACTTTCATTAGATAAAACTAGAAGAACAACCGTCACCTTCTAAAGTAAAAGGTGACCCCTGAATAACAAATAACTTACTACACTGCACAAAACAAAACCTCTCGATTCACCCCTTGTTTTGCTAGGTTGTCAGCTAAAGCATTTGCTGCCTCCTAGACCAAGACACTTGTGCACCCAGCTCCCTTGTGAGGCTCAATAATTCCCTTACATGTCTAAGGGACCATGTTCCCAAACTATTTGATTGCAGCCAACCTACTAATTTTGAATCCCCCTCCACTTCTAACTGTTGAAAACCCAATTGCTTGGCCCATCTGAGCCCCTAGAGGAGAGCCAATACTTCAGCTCTAAGCAAGTCCCCCAAACCTATTGGACCAGAATACATAGCTAGGATTTTTCCTTCCGCATCTCTAAACACACCCCCTATTCCAGAAGGTCCAGGGTTCCCAAGAGAGCTGCCATCAAAGTTCAGTTTGACATTACACTACAAAGGAGGGTACCAAACTGCTTGTATGGTAGGTGATGAAGTAGAAGACCTTGCTAAAATACTCCAGCCTCTAGTCAAATCATCTATAGAGACATCCTTGAACAAGTCAAGAGTTTTCAGCCAATGTACTGCCTTGTACTGCCTTGATGGTGATCCCTTCAGTAACTTCTCAGGAGTTGATTTTTCTTTCTTCCCACACTGCCCACAAGATAGCTGTCCTCGTTGTTCTCCACATCACCCTTCCTTTCTTCTGTGGTTGTCGGAAAAAAGCTAGGGTCAAATAAATCTGCTACGCTTGTGGGAGGAGTCCACCTACAATCAAAGAGAGAGGAGAACCAAGAAATTAATAGGTGATTCACTGTTTCACCATTCCTCAAGCAAAGGCTATAGACATGAAGTGACAAGCACCAATTTGGTCTCTTTCTTTGAAGCACTTCCAAGGTATTGATTTTTTGGAGAACCACTTCCCAACAAAAAGCCCTTACTTTTGGGGTTACCGGAGTGCTCCATACTTCTTTAACAGGAAATGAGGAAACTGGGTTAAAAGGAAGGACCATAGCATTGAAAAACGAAGAACAAGAAAAACTACATGTAGAAGTTTCAGTCCAAATTCTACTGTCAGGAGAAGAGTGGTCTAGAAAAACTGAACTTAGAAGAGAAAAAATATCATTTTCCGAATCCACTTCTGAGTCCTTCAAACCTCTCCTTAGTCCCAGATCCCAAGAATCCCCAGAAACACGAAAAGAAGAGATAAATTGAGATTTTTTCAAAGTTATACAGGACTACCTTTTTGGTAGAACTTATACAAGACTACATTTTTTATTCAAGAATGAGCTGATAAATCTTGACTCACTACTTGATCTTAGGTTCTTTTTTAGCCCTTCCTCCGTCCTTTTGAATGTCTTTTTATTGATTTCTTTTGCTCCTAACTCTCCCACTAACAGATTAATTTTTAATTTCCTTTTTCTTGAGAAGTTATCCCCCTAATGTTTCTTCTGTAATATTTTTTAACCCTAATATGAAATCATCCCCTCAACAGAATAGATTGGCAAAACAGCATTTGTGTAGGCAACCCCATATGGTTGGGGCAAGGATTAGATGACAATGATTGATGATGGTATTCCCAAAAATTTAAAAAGATTATGCCATTTCTAAAATTTTCAGGAAATTCTCACTTTTTTTGAGACTGGATTTTTCTTTGGAATTGAAATTGAAAGTTTTAAATCTCACTCATGTTTCCACTTTCTATTATGCTGTGCTATTGAAAAATGATGCTAAAACACGGGCCGATTTTTCTTACAAACAAGAAAAGGGTACAGACTACTCGTGTAAGGTCATCCGCATTCCCCTTTACTCTATTCAGTGTAAGCATGCACCAGAATAGAAACCAAGCGAGGCCGAGTTTTCAGTATAACTTGATTATGATCCATGAATATTGAATCTAGTAACAATTCCACTATTCTTTGATGATACACTTTTGACAATTTGGGTCCTGTACACCCATAATATCCATGCCTCTTTTTGTAATTGAATTCTTGTAGTTATCGCAAATTGGTTCAAATGTAGATCTGTTGTAACATCTAAATTTTTGGAGATTTTCATTCTAACATACAATGTTGCACCTAGCGAAAAAGTTAGGAAGAAGGTAAACAATTAATAAATATTGTAGTTTATGACTTGAAGGAGTACCGATGCATGCCCTTAATGTTGGGAAGAGGATGACTATTTCACAGGCTTCTGTAGAATAATGTATTATTTGTTCTTTTATTGGCTCCTAGGACCTCTTGGAGGACCCTGCTGTCATAGGTGCAATAGATGAGGAGACAGAATTTAATGCCTTGGTGGTAAGTGGCTGCAAATTCCATATTGAAAATGCAATCACTAAACTTGCTGCTGATTTATTAGAACACACATACATACATGCACAAAGGCTGTTTATTTACTTGACAAAAGAAAAAGAACCTCAGCTGATGATCAATGCTGTCTTTCTTTCTACTTTTGCAGGAGGAAGAGGCTGCTCTCCTTGAGTCGTTGTTAGGAGAAAGATAACAATCAGTACTGGTCTGTACTTCAAAGAATTCAAAGCTTTTTGAATAAAGAAGCTCTGTGTAACTGCCAAATAACTCTGTTTTGTTTTTCTGTCCTGTATATATGATAATTTTTTTTTGTAAGTTCAACTTTTTCATGCGTGAATACGTTCAGCCATTTCAAGAAAATTTCCTCCTTGCCTTACTGCTTTACAGCGTGAGTTCATTATGGCTTTTTTTGATTGATTATTGTATGGAGTCATGATCATCTTGAACGGTTCCCTGACTAATTACATAACGATTTTCCTCTCTCTCTCTCTCTCTCTCTCCACATAACGATTTGCCTCATGCAAAATTTCTATTGGACCTCTATTGCTTTTTTTCTTGATAATTCATCTTGCATCATCAGCTAACACTAGGACATAGCACAAAAACTCTTCACCTTTTATTTCCTTTTTTTTCATTCTTTTTCGTGTATGTATAATATGCTTTAAGCATGGCCTTAAGTGGGGGAAATGTTTCAAATCCTATCCACTGCTTTGGAACAGTTTAATTGGCACAATCTAGACTCCTATTCGTCTATGCATTGCAACTATGTATGGCAATTGCATATCACAATTTTTTTTAATCTACTTTTTGATTTTTATATATTTTCTCAATACTTCTCCTCAACTGAGCATAGATATCTATCATGCCCAAGTTGCCAAGCTTTCTATCAAATTTTGGCTTGTGGAGACCCTTGAGGAGACAATTAACAAATTGATCTTTAGACTTGACCAAAGGCACACATATTTCTCCATTGGCTATTTTTTTCTAATGAAGTGTTTGTCAACCTCAAAATGCTTTGTTCGTAAGAATGACAGCGAGGTGGGGGTGGAGTTGAGTTTTGTCTATCCTACCCCCAACTCTAAACTTAAATGCCCCACCCTAAACCCATTGGACTAAAAGTATCCCCATCCCCATGGGGAATGGGGATCATCGAATTTGCCCCACCCTGCCCTAGTCATTTCTACTTTTAACCCACTCGAACCCCGTCCTTGATCCCCAAAGTTTTGCGTTTCCTTGAAACCCACCTAAACCCCAATCAGTGGTAAAAAACCAACCCTGATCGAAGCGGGCAAAGTTCCAGAGGGATGAGTCAAATTGCCATTTTTATTTGTTCGGTCATGTTAGATTGGGTTATGGGTTATGCTTATGGTAACTTGGTTATCACAATACAATTTCATTACAATATCAATTTGGATTCTAACCTCAAATAACAAAGTATCCAGCCAAAATAACTCTGATACACCATGAGCCATAGTTTTATATTCTGCTTCTGTGATAGATTGGGTAACAACTAATTGTTTTTTACTTTTTCGTGATACAACATAATACAATATAGTAATTAGAGGTGAATCTCATAGAGCATGCCCAATCTACATTAGTGTAAGCATTAACCTTGTGATGTTAACATTCCTTTGCTTGAACATCTCTTTAAGTAGGCAAGAGTTCTATTGATTGCCTGTGTATGTGAAGTTACAAATCTACGCATCTATTGACTCAGTAGAGTTACATTATAGAATATATTAGGCCTAGTCAAACACAAGTAGAGAAGCCTACCAACAAGTCTTTGATAAATACTTTTGTCACGAAGAATTTCTCCATTAGCATTCAATTTATGATTGGGATCAATGGGGATTTCAATTGGCTTGCACCCCAACTTACCTACTTCATGAAGAGTGTCAAGAAACATGCTTTCTCTGCGAAGTGAAGATTCCTTTGACCTTTATACTTCAATCCTATTTGAGATTTTCGAGGTCTTTGATATCAAATTCAGAAGCATGGAAGGACTTTAATTAGACAATTCCAAAGTTATCATCTCAAGTGACAACATTATTATCAATACACACTATTAGAAGAGTCACTAGACCATTAATCCTTTTTATAAAAAGAGTATGATCTGCCTGTGATTAAGTGAATTCAATTTTAAGAATAGTTTTTCTAAATTTGTCAAACCAAGTCCTAGGAGATTGCTTGAGTCCATAAAGGGATTTCTTTAGACATCAAACCTTCTCATTGTTAGGGAAGCTTACTCCCAAAGGAAGATCCATGTAATCTTCTTGAAGATTTCCATTGAAAAATGCATTCTTCACTTCTATCTAGTACAAAGGCCACAAATAGTGAGGAGCAAAAGACATAATTACTTGGATGGAGTTTATCTTAGTCACATGTGCAAAAGTCTAATGATAATCAATCCCATATGTTTGGGTACACCCTTTTGCCACTAACCTAGCATTGTATCTTTCGATTGATTCATCATTATAATATTTAATTATATACACCCACTTGCAACCCATTGGGACCTTATCCTTAGGGAGAGGGACAATCTCCTAAGTTTGGTTCTTTATGAGGGCTTCCATTTCTTGGTTCATAGCATCTTTCCATTGTGGAAATTGCACTGCCTCTATAACATTATCAGGAATAGAAATAGTAGAAATGGTTGAAGTATAGGCATAGTATAAAGGTGGATAAGGCATCGTAATAAACATAGTTAGTGATGGAATAGGCAGTAGGGGCGCAAGTTGGGTAGGTCTAACCTGAACCCAAAATTTTACACAGGCCAAGCTTAGATTTCAGTCCTTGGGTTGGGCTTGGGCCTAAGAATTTGGGCTTTTTTATTTTTTGGTCTAGGCTTGGGCCTAGCCCTTAGGTAGCTTGAACTTGGTCCAAGCCTAGCCCGACCTTGTCCTAACCCAAGCTCAGCCCAACTATATGCATTCATACATCCATATATAGATTTGTATTTAAATATAAAATACATATTTATATATAGTATACATTTTTACATATATAAATACATATTTGCATAAATGCAAAGATACATGTATAATTTTAGAGTAGGTTCATTGACCTACCTGAGCTCGACCCAGGCCCGAGTCCAACCCACACATTAAATTACAATGCGGGTAGGGCTTGGGTCTTAAGCCCAAATCTTAGAATTGGGTTTGGGTTGACCATAAACCCGACCCAACTCGCCTAATTTGTAAGGGGCAATACACTTCATTTTCCCTTTTCGAATTACAATGAGAAGGCCAATGTCATCCTGTGAGATGTCAAGCTCAATACTAAAAGGAAAAGAAAGTTTAGGTTCAGGGTTATTTATAGAGTTACTTGGAGCTAGGTGATCAAATTGTTGTGATTTTCAGTTTTCTACTATTAAAACTAGAAGTTCAGTAGTGGAGGCTATACAAGTTCTCTTATATCCTAAGAATTAAGATTCATATACATTGTATATTTCAAATAATAAATTATTAACTTCATTTTATTTTTGTTTTTAATTTTACTTATCATATTTTTATAATAAGATTTAAGTAAAACATCTAAACCATCTTTTCTATTCTCAATATCCTAATATTACAGCTAAGCAATATAGAGGAGAAATATTTTTCCAATATTTTTTAAATTTAACTTCCATTACATCAATAATATTCTGAATATTTTAAATTATTTCTATAAATTGAATATATTCACTAATTATAAATAATTGATTAACTAAAATGCAATAAGTTGGGCAATATACACCTAAAAATGTATTAGTTGTATCATATAAAATTTGTAAAAAATCTTTTATGCAAACTACAATTTCCCAATCATCATTGGTTATAAAATCATAGGGCATTTTCTCATTTTAAAAATTAATAAACATGTCTTTGTATGAAATAGAATAAGTGGAATTCTACCTATTCAACATCTAATACAAAATTTCTATATTTCAAATTTTATTTTTGACATAAATATTTAAATTCTTGTTTTCTTGCACTAGAACTTCTAATATGCATAATGAAATTTCTAATTTTAGAAATATGAGAAGCAATATTTAAAACATCTTAAACACGTAAATTTAATATGTGACATTACACCTAATATTAAATAATTTATCATTTAAACATGGTTTTAATTGATAATTTAAAATATTTATTGTTGAGTAATTATTATTGGCATTATCAAAACTAATAGATGCAAAGTATTTAATATACTTGTAGCAATTACTAGGCTAATATGTGATCATTCAAGTTTTATAAAACTTAAAATTCTTTTATGTAAAAGCCAATATAAAACTTAAAATTCTTTTATGTAAAAGCCAATGACTATCAATAAAATGCCTCGTAACACAAATATAATTTATATTTGGAAGTCCAAATATATGATATGAGTGCAATTTTAGAATTAAGAGTCGACAATGTAGAAATTAAATTTTATTTATATGAATAAACAAATTTTACAGCATATGCTCTAAAACTAGATTTTTTTTTTTCAAATTAGAAATTTATTGGTTGTTGTAAAATTATTTCTAACCTAAGGTCTTCAACTAATAAAAATGGTTGTTCAATATATACAATATATTTAGTTAATTATTGTTTCATTTTATCTTAGAATATTGAAAATTACAAAAAAAAYTGCACCTAATTTATGGTTGATTTTGACTATCATTATTTTTTAGATAAGTGACCATATGTCTAGCCAAATGGGGAGTACCAACCTATAACTGAAATCACTCTTACATCTAATGCAAATAACTTTTTTCCATTCCCCTCAAGAGTCTCTATAGTAAACATTCCCTACCCATATTAGTATTGCATCTTCAAAATCAAACATGTTGGGAAAAGAATTTTGAAAGGAACAAGCCATTTTTAAAAATTTGTAGTATTAAAATCCTAAAAAATGAAAATTAATTGCAATTGACTCGGTCATTTGATCGGTCCAACTTGATTTCAACTGATGAACCTTCTAAGCTTTCCAATTGTTAACTTGAGATACTTGAGCAAACATTTTTTTTCTTTTTGTTGAAACTTGAATAAAATTGAGAATTAGGGATTAGGGAGTAAGAGATTATGAGAGTATGAGAGTGTATGAGAGTATATTAAAGTATTCGAGTATATGAGAGTGTGAGAAAGTATGAGAATTGATGTGATGAGAATAAGGGAGGGTGTAAGAGAATCTATTGAAGTTGAAATTAATTTAATTAAGCAAAATGCCCTTAAAAACTAACTATTTTATAGTTATTGGGAGGGGTATTTTGGCCTTTCATAAAATTATTTATCATTTTACCAAATACCCCCAACTTAACTTTTATATAAGTTTTGGGGGCATTATTGTCATTTTTCTGTCCCCAAGTCAAAATACAAAAATACCCCCAAATTAACTCTTGGGGTATTTATGTAAACCTCCCCCCAAGTCAAAATACAAAATGGGTGGGACAGTGCAGCCCATTTTGTCGTGCACTTGTGCTTAGACCTGTTCATGGGCCGGGCTTTCACTCTCCATTAATAGAATTTTTTTCAAGCCCGAGCCCAAGCCTGACCCTTATAAAAAACCTAAAGCCTGGGCCCAAGCTTGAAGTTCAAGTTCGCCAACTTCCTGTGTTTGTCGGTACAGAGAGAGAGAACCTGATCGTTGCTACCTGAGYCCGCCGAGTACCGCTACTAGCCTACATTTGTCACTGACTTGTTGGTGATTGATGAAAACAATGAGAGTCGAGAGATGAGAGGACCTGGTCGCTGGCTTGCTACTACCTAAGTTCGCTAGAGAAGGTAATGCAAAAAAAAGGTTATTGCATACCGCTGCTTGCCTTTGCTACCGATTCACTGAAGATTAATAGTTTGGTCATTGCTAGCTTGAACTCTTTGAGAAGTGAGAACTGATAAAAGGATAATAGATGAAGAGAGGGAAAGGAAAAGTTGGGTAGGGTTTTCAATTTTATGAATTTAGAAATTATAATAAATATTATATATATTTTATATGATATAAAATAGTTGGATTGGGCTGAGCTTTTTTTGACAAATCCCGAATTCAACCCGCAAAATAATCGGGCTTGGTGTTTTAGGCCCGAGGTCAAGCCCGTAGGCTTAAAAACGTCCAAACCCGTTTAGGGACCGGGCCAGGCCGTCGGGTTACCTGGCCCATGAACAGGTCTACTCGTGCTATGCCAGGTCGGCCCTTGCACCTCAAAACCTAAGCCCCGACATGCCCGGGGCGGCCCGGTCCGGTTGCTACAGTGACAAGGCCCGGCACGGCCCAGTTTGCAGCTCTACGATGAATCAAGTCTGGCTATTGTTGCCGGTCTAGGTAGCAGCAGCGATCCTCCGGTCAAGGTTATATTTTGGGACAGATATCGAACCAACTCCCACTCGGTTTTAGCTACAATGGACCGTTGAGGAAGACACTCGAGCCGAACGTGTAGAGGAACCGTCCTCCCAGCTCACCAATCTGCACGGGATCCTCGTCCATTTCACCGTTGTTTCTCTTCTCCACGAGTCGACTCCGGTAATCATTGTCTGTTCAGACTGCAGCATCCAATCTTGAAGTTAAGCCAACATCAAAGATAGACGTTTTCTTCATTTTATGGTTTTGTTCCATTCCTGCTAGTGACCGATTTGAAAATTTGTAGCACATAACGTTAATCCATGGAAGCCCGGTTTGCTGCTTGTGTCCATTTCTTTCTGCTATTCTAGCGATGCATGAAGTTCATTGTGAATTTGTGACGCATTTTGATTTTCAATAGTTGAATCATTCGGTCACTATCTTTATTTTAACTCTGTTTTAACGAATGTTCTCTGCTATGATTTTGAAACGGTATTCTTCTGAGCCCACTCGTTTTCCTACTGTTGATATTAATTCGAGTGTCCTTTTAGGCTTGATTCCACTCCATGATCCCAGATTATGATGAAGGGCAGATTATAGGTTTCCTTCTTTTTTATCATATATAAATTCCTCTGTCAGTAAGATAAATAGGTTCTTTTTAGCATATTGACACCTCGGTTCAAAGGTCTGTTCTGCCCCTTGCGTTTATAGTGTTCATCTGGGTGGTGAWAGTATCGTATTAGTGAGACCGTCTCATGATTTTCTCATTGATTTCTCTATCCCTTTCGTCTCCACAGGGTTCATTTCTGCGTGGAACATTGCAAAGGAAGTCGCTGACGAATACCACATTTCTGTTTGAGTTTATGCCAAAATTAGTTCTGGGCAATTCTACTGTGGTCGAAACTAAAAATGATATCCATTAAGAAACTTGGGTATCATTGGACTTCAATTTCCTCTTCTGCCCTTGCTTTCTTGCTTGATGGCAATCAGTACAAGATAACCAGGATGCATAGATGTCGACCTGGGCCTTACTTGAACTATGGGTATAGTTGTCGATTCATGGATTTCTTTTTGAACAAATCGAACATGAAAAGTCTTTTTACAAGTTCAGTGAATGGATTTAAATTCCTAACCTGGCCCTCATTCTCCACCATGGCTGGTTCAATCCTGGTGCAGGCTAGGGATCCTTCAAAAATAACAATGGAATTAGGAAATGCTATTGATGACCATATGTTTGATGATGCATGGAAGTTGTATGAACTTCACATGCAAATCGAAGGGCTCCCTAGGAAATCTGTACTGAACAAGGTTCTCACGGGTTTTGCTGGAAGCCCTGACATTTACTGGCTTGAGAAAGCTTACAGTTTGGTGGAAATGGTTATTGAGAAGGGAAAACATTATCTGTTAGAGAAGGATACTCTGATATATCTGTCTTATATGCTTGCAAGGAGTAGATTGCCTGTTCCCTCTTCAACAGTTGTGAGAAAATTGGTAGAAATGGAGGAATTTCCTCCTGTATCTTCTTGGTCAGCAATTGTTGCCCACATGGCACAAACAGCACCTGGGGCTTACCTTGCTGCAGAGTTGATTCTAGAGATAGGATACTTATTCCAGGATAACAGGGTGGACCCACGGAAAAAGAGCAACAGACCTATGCTTGCCATGAAACCAAACACTACTGTTTTTAACATCGCTTTAGCTGGGTGTTTGTTATCTGGGACTTATAGAAAAGCTGAACAACTTCTTGACATGATGCCACGAGTTGGTGTGAAAGCTGATGCAAATTCACTTATCACTATGGTACACATATATGAAAGAAATGGACGTAGAGAAGACCTCAAGAAGCTTAAGAGAAACATAGATGAAGCTTGCAGCTTAGGTGATCTTCAGTTTCAACAGTTCTATAATTGTTTGCTGACATGCCATTTGAATTTTGGGGACATGGATTCTGCATCCCAGATTGTATTGGAAATGCTCAGAAAGGCAAAAGATGCTCGAAAGTCTCTTGCTTCAGCAACACTTGTACTTGAAGCTGTTGGAACTAAGAAGTCCTCTCTTGCACAAAATCCTGAGCAAATTTCTTTTGGAAAATCTGAGGTTTCAGGTGGTATTAAATTACTTGAGCACCATGCCCCATCTTACGAGGAATTTTCTAGAGATAGAAGTTATGCAAGGCTTGAGGTTGAGGCAAAAGAAATGCTTGATATGCTATTAGCTAAACTTCAAACACGAGTTGAACTGGTTACATCTAAACATGGTATTCTCCAGCCAACTGAAAAAAGTTATGCCAAACTGGTTAAGGCCTTTCTTCAAGCAGGAAAAGTTAAGGATTTAGCTGAGTTTTTAATCAAGGCAGATAAAGAAGATGGCCCAGTTTCCCCTGAGAACTCAGCTGTGGTCCATGTAATTAATGCTTGTATATCACTTGGATGGTTAGATCAAGCGCATGACCTACTTGATGAGATGCGATATGCTAGGGTAAGGACTAACTCTTCTGTCTACTCTTCCCTCCTAAAAGCCTATTGTAAAGCAAACCGACCAGAAGAGGTGACTTCTCTTCTAAGAGATGCTCGTAAAGCTGGGGTTCAACTTGATTCAAGCTGCTATGAGGCATTGATCCAATCTAGAGTCATTCAGAAAGATACTCAAGGTGCTCTTGATCTATTCAAAGAGATGAAAGAGGCCAAGATCTCAAAACCTATTCATCGAGAATTTGAGATGTTAGTAAAGGGTTGTGCAGAAAGTGGTGAAGCAGGTATGATGGCAAAACTGTTGGAAGAAATCAAAGAAGGGCAAARAGCAGATTGTGGGGTGCATGACTGGAATAATGTGATCCATTTTTTCTGTAGGAAGAGACTAATGCAAGATGCTGAGAAGGCTCTAAAAAAGATGAGGGCTTTGGGGCATCTACCAAATGCACAGACTTTTCATTCATTAGTCACTGGGTATGCTGCCATTGGGGGAAAGTACCTTGAGGTAACAGAGTTGTGGGGTGAGATGAAGGTTCTTGCATCTTCTAGTTCTATGAAATTTGATCAGGAGCTCCTGGATTCCTTACTTTATGTCTTTGTAAGGGGTGGATTTTTCTTGAGAGCAAATGAAGTTGTAGAAATGATGGAAGTAGAGAACTTGTTTATTGACAAGTACAAATACAGGACCCTCTTCTTGAAATACCACAAAACACTTTACAAAAAAAAGGCCCCCAAGTTCCAAACAGAAGCCCAGTGCCAAAGGAGAGAAGCAGCATTGGCATTTAAGAAGTGGGTGGGCTTATTTTAATGGAAGTCCTTTGTTGGTTGAATTCTTGCTGAAATTATGAAGTCAAGATGGAAGCTCAGGCTGTGATGGCTAAAAATATATTAGCTTTAGCAGTTGGTATATCAAAAATCAACTGGGTGGCTTTTGCAAAAAATCATTAGGAATCCACTTACCAACTTTTATGGACTGTAGTCACGACCATAATTGCTGAATGCCATCTCATTCAGACTGTTCACCATCAATAACTTTCCACCAAGTACTTTTATGATCTGATAGCATGGGTGGAATGACATATATGGCATATTTATTTGAGCTTGCAGGCCCAGACCGCTTGCTTGTAAGAGAGCTTCTCTAAGTGCCATCTGGTAGTGGTAGTTTATCTGGGGTCATCAGTCTCCTGAATCATGGTTTATCTTTTATGGGATTTGGAAAGTCTGCTCAGTTGAGGTTTTTAGAACATTTAACTGGGAAGCTTCTTTCTGTTTTTTGATCACTAAACTGGTTGGATTGAAATGGCCAGTGGATGGTGTATTTGAGGATACTAATATAAATCCAGCTAGCATTTACAACTATGAATATCCTTGTTTGGGGCATTGATCAAAAAGGAATAGCGGGGCAGGATTGATGTATTCGATCCTATATAGTTAGGACAAAGTTTAGCTGATAATAATGATGATGATGTGAATCCTTTTTTGAAGTTAAAGACTTCAGGTTCAAGCTCCAGCACACATTTTTAATTGGAATATATAGAAATCTAAATAACTAATACATTCATACTGTCAATCTTTTAGAAATTCATATTTTGAGAGGGAGATCCTGGCTCCTTGTTAGAACAATTTTACATTGTATTTTCATTTTTGCATCTGTCTGCATCTTAAACTTTCATATTAAAGTGGCATTTTTTTCTTTTTAATTTTCTGAATTATGTATTAGATGATTGGTTCTTCTTGGGTTTTTAATACTGTTTTGGTCTCCAAAACATCACACTCTTTTTCTTACTTACAGGCTTGAGGCAATTCTAATATATGAAAGTTATTCAATTGAGGTATTAGGAGTTTGCTTCTATGGGAAAGAATTGTTAATAATATTTGGATAGCTAAGCGTATCTCAGATATTAATAAAATCTTGTTATTTATCAAAAAATTCACCCTAAACAGACAAGTTTTTACCTATATCTAGTAGGTTTAAAAAGGGTTACAAAATTTCAACTTTAATATTACTAAGGTCCAAGATAACCTTGTTGAGCCAACCATATAACTATTTGAACTGCCTATTAGTTAAGAGTCTAAAAATTATCAAAACAAAATGTTAAGAGTCTAAAAAATTATCCGAAAAAAAAAGTTAAGAGTCTAAAACATTTAAGCACAGAGACAATACCTACTACGAGAATTAAAATTCAATATTTGACCAATATCAGAAAATTGCTAAATATTATGAAATCACCACTGTAACTGGGAAACTAGGGCCTTAATCTATGGCCTCCCAGAGAAGGTGATTGGGTTGGTAGGTCCCAAAACATCTTTTGGGTCTCACATGAGAAAACCCCAGTTGTGCAGGACTATTGCAAGACTTAGATCTAGTGACTATTGTGAGACATATATTGGTTATAGCATATTGAAAACATCTCAATTTACAATGCTTTTGTGACCTCATGGAACATAAAAACAGAGCTTAATAGTAATATACATAAAACTCCTGTTTGTTTAGAATATTATTCCACCTTGTTATGAGAGGCATTTGAATCAGTGCTTTCATGACAAATTTCCCTTGACTTGCATGCTCACTGCTTGCTTAAAATTGTGTTTTTACCAAATTGAGGATTTTGGAAAACCATGGATAGGTGGACTCTACAAATAATTTGCCATTAGAGTGCATAATAAGAAGGGTATTCAAAAGTTTCCAGAGGGATGATTGCATGCTGCTGTGCGCAGTTGACACGTAAGTGATTTAGTTCCTTTGTAGCTTTATAAATTTTCTGAACTTCGTATGTAATGGATAATTTTACTCCTGCAGGCCTGTTCAAATCTTCAAGAGCACAAATGTTTATGGATGGTCAGCTGTATGTATCTTGTTTTAGCTTTGGATTTCAGTTTGCTGGTTGTCAATAAGCTATAGATAGAAGCTTTGTATAAAACTGCTTGATACCAGAAATATTTCTGAATGCTCTTCTTTTATTTTTAACTTCTGTGTTGACTTGCCCCACCTTTTCTCTTCCAGTGAACCTGTGGGGTTATCTTTTCTTTGTTTGTTTGGTTAATGACTGTGATAAATCAGACTTAAGTTTTTTGACTTGTACCATTTATTGGAGTTACATAGCATCTTGATGCTATGAAAGTCAATATTGATGTTGATTTCAGAGATGAAAGCTATTTTGCTTTAAATGCTTCAAGATGATGATGAAACTGATAATGCTTTTTAATGAATGATTTCATGTTTCATTATTGATTAAAAACAGGAATGAATCTCTAAAAATGATGAAAAATTTCTCCACAGCAACGAGTATGCAGATTGGCAGCAGTGTTCAGATATGGGAATGTAATAAATATAGTATAACTATATGATAAACTCTAGAGAAATTGAACATGGCCATTACAATACAAGTCTACACCTTGGAATAAATGTACTTTGTGTACTGCAACAATTTCCATCATCATCTAGGCCTTATCCCAACTATATGGGGTCAGTTACATGAATCCTGTTTTGTTTAATGCCATATCAATTATTGCAACAATTTCCATGCTATCGCTTAATTCACAATGCTACATTGCTGAGTTGAATATAGTTGTACAACTAGTGGTGGATACCTGCATCAATATATCTAAGTGGCAAGAAGTATGGGTAGAGTGTAAGTTGGAACAAAAGCCTACTGGTGGGGGTCAATCTAGAAAGTGAGGAGCTTAGATCTATGGCTGAATCCTTGGGGTCTGAGAGTGGGAAATGGTCTTTAAGGTATTTAGGTTTACCTCTAGGAGATAACCCTAGACTGGCTAGTTTTTGGAGTTCAGTGGTAGAGAAAATTGAGAAAAGACTGACCGGATGGAAGAGGAACCATATTTCTCTGGTTGGGAGACTTACATTGATCAAATCCACTCTAGCTAACCTCCCTGTTTATTTGTCGGTCTTTAGGATGCCTCAAGTAATAGTGAAAAGAATAGATTTATTTCATAAATCTTATGATTTATATGATTTATATGATTTATATGATTTCTATGATTCAAATAAATTCAATTAAGAATTAGTTCTCTGTTATTTTTTTTGTTTATATTTAGTTTTGCCAAAGGAGACCCTCCCTTACTAGAAAATGATTTATTTATGCTATTTAAGACTAGAAATTGAGTTTATTTTCCATCATATGTAGGTTAAAGAGCCCTTGTATGTAGATTTGTTTGATTTTCAAGTCAAACTTGATTATATCATCTTAGGCTTCTATTGTGGTAAGTTCTATTTAAATACATATATGGTAGATATAGATTAAAAATAGGGTAAAGTCACTTTCGTATATATATTTAGCCTTTTAATGTATCTATGTTTAATTTTTTGACAAGTTTGTAAAAAATAGAAATAATCTTACGATTTATGATACGATTCACAATTCAATTTGATTCAACTTTCTCTACGATTTACGATATGATTATGATTTTCAAAACAGTGCTTGGAAGAGCTTTTGGTGCGTCTTTGTGTGGATGTCTGTCATGGATTGGGCTTTTGCCCTCAATGAATTCATGGTTTTGAGATGAAATTTTGTTTGTAATTGGTCAAATGTGTTTGGTTTAAAGGGAAGTACAAGGAGTTAAGAAAAAGGTTCAGACAAGGCTAAGAAGATTACAAACATTTTAGTATTGTAAAAGATTATATTCTGAATTGAAAGCTGTTAATTTTTCCCTCGTGCCCTCTCCATATGTCATTTTGCTTAAAAACACTATTGCATTGTCTCTATGGGTTAATACCTTGTTAAAGGATATCATAGAGAGGGATGGTCATTTGAAGTTTGATACAATGCTCAGATATATTACTCCAAGACCAGAATCCATTTCTTATATCTCTCACTCTTGACATTTGTTTTGCAGGATGGTACACATTATATGGTTGATACACCATCTGACCCACTTCTATTTGTTGCTGTAAAGGTAACTTGCCAGCTTTTCATCTTTGCATATTTGGGATACTAGTGATGATACTCTTGAATAAACACATGACTTTCCTTTTTATATTGTTAATATATGGAACTTGTACTGTCCAGGTGCCTTTAAAAACTGTTGTTTGTTGGTTTGGTTTTGTACTTTTTTATTGGGAAAAGGTTAACAAATCTTGGATCAAAGATTGAGGATTGGGGAGAATGTCAACTGAAAACCTTTTTTTTGTTCATGCAGGATCAAAGTGGTCTATTGCAAATTGCTGATGATGTAAGCAATCTCATCTAGTTTTACATGTTCTTGAGTCCTAGAACATTGTCTGATTTCTTATAACTTGTTTTTAGAACTTGGTAAAGCATTGAGGTGGCATTTGGAAGCCTATAACCTGATAACTCTTAAATCTAATTAAATCTTATTAGGATAAGATCTTATTTTTATGTCTGGAAAGTTTGTCTGAAATTTGATTAACATTTTCCAAATCAAAGATCCCCCAAAATATTACYCTCTTTGAAGTTTGAACATGATTGATCATCATGAATAAATAGATGAGCAACCATATTAGTTGTGATGATGTGGAGTTGCAGATGGGTAAAAGGATCCATATATGACTATATCTGATGTTGACAGATTTTTTTACAAGATAGAAGCACCAAGAAGATGACTTAAGCAAGGCCATCATAGTGAATTTGTGAAACATTGAAGCCAGAAAGAAAAAGGAAACTGAAAAGAAGGTGGTGAAGAAGCAAAAGTTATACAAGACTGCATTTTTTGTATAACTTGTACAAGATTACATTGTTTTGTTAAAGAATGAGCAGATAAATCTTGACTCACTACTTGATCTTAGGTTCTTTTTAGCCCTTCCTTTGTCTTTTTGAACCTTCTGCTTGAGCTAAATCACTTGTTGCTAGTATTAGTAGTGTTCATATCATATGGCCAAACCATTGTAGTCTACTCTCCATTGTCTTTTTATTGATTTCTTTTGTTCCCAAGTCTCCCACTAACAGAAGAATTTTTAATTTCTTTTTCTTGAGAAGTTATCCCCCTAATGTTTCTTCTGTAATATTTTTCACCTAGTATGAAATCATCTCCTCAATAGAATAGATTGGCAAAACAGGATTTATGTAGCCAACCCCATATAGTTGGGGCAAGGCTTAGATGATGATGATAGATGATGGTATTCCCAAAAATTTAAATAGATAATGCCATTTCTAAAAATTTTCAGGAAATCTCACAAATCTCACTTTTTTGAGACTGGATTTTTCTTTGGAATTGAAATTGAAAATTTTAAATCTCATTCATGTTTCCACTTTCTATTATGCTGTGCTATTGAAAAATGGTGCTAATACACTGGGGCCAACCGGCCGATTTCTTTTACAAACAAGAAAAGGGTACAGTCTACTCGTGGAAGGGCATCGGCATTCCCCTTTACTTGATCAGGTGTAAGCATGCGCCGGAAGAGAAACCAAGCAAGGCTATGGATTTTCAGTATAACTTGATTAAGATCCATGAATATTGAATCTAGTAATAATTCCACTATTCTTTGATGATACACTCTAGACAATTTGGGTCCTGTACATCCACATATCCATG